TTTTTTTTTTTTTTTTTTTTTTTTTGAAATTTTAAAATTAATTTCTATTCCAATTAGATAACAATGGTCTCATTCGGTAGCAATTTCGTTTTTTATTTTTAATTTTTTGAAATTCAATTTTGTCTACTCGCAATTACTTTAATATGATTTTCATGTTCCTTAATAGAAATATTTTAATTCTCAGTCAAATTCAAAAAAATAAAAACAATTTTTAGAAACTAAAAGAAATAGTTTTTGAAATGTTTCAAATTCAAGCCAAATTATAAAAATTAAAACTGTATATATATATATATATATATTTTTTTTTTTTTGGCCCGTCAAAATTTAAAAACAAAAAGAAGTTTTTTAAAAACCACATTTTTTAGTTAAAAATTTAGCTTAGTTTTTAAAAACTTATTTTATTTATAAAGTTAGATTAAAAATTCAAATATTTACTTGAAAACGAAAAAATAAACAAAATTTAAAAAAAAAAACGGTCGAAATTATAATTATAACTATTATTTATAACTTGTCTCAATAAAACCATAATTATAACATTTATGAAACTCAGTGTGCACCATAAAACCATAAACCCTAATTCTATTTTCTTTTTCTTTTTTCTGAATTAATTAAAATACTACACAATTAGCAGCAAAGTCTTGTGTAATCAAAACCAATAGAAAAAACTAACTCAACTTGCCTGTATTATACCGATTGCTATGGTTGCGCCTTCCTCGTATTGTTGAAAAATACAGCTTCTCGAGACGAAAAAATGGCCTTAAATGCCCATTCAGTGATACTTACTTGCTGAGACTCAACCATTTCAGATATGAATCATTTTGCATCTAATTTGAGTTCATCGGTCACGAAGAAGACCGAATGGAGAGCCCGAACGCATTGCTCTGCTTCGTTGTCATTTACAATCAATGAGATATTGACCTGCCAAGTGGACAACAAAATGAATCAGCTATATATGTATAGAAATCAAAAGGCTGACTTACTGAAAAGTTCTACTTTCATAAACGTTCTAAAACTACTATTAGAGTAGACATCTGTTAATTAAAAATGGGAACTAGAACCAAAAATGGGTGTAGCATTGACTTGAAATACTGTGATGGTATTTGAGTCCCAATTTCTCCAAGTTACCGCTACACGTCTCAAATTTGTCCAACATTCCAACAGGTTTCTAGTCCGCAAATAACAAAGTTCAAGGCTATTTAGCCAAATCCTTTCATGAACCATGGTGAACATACTACAAGCATTTCCAAAACTGAAGAGCAATTGCACAAATAGGGAGAGGCATGAGGCATGAGGCATTACATTACAATGATTTCTATACCACACATTTTACTACATAGATTGGGAATAAGTTCCTTAAGTCCACATGGTTCTCTTGTCATGGCATTTCTTATTTGGTTTAGAAAACCAAGCTCGTTTAATCACAATGATTTTCTTTTTATTGTATAATCGAGGAGTTGCAACCTACTCCTTATATTATCCTCATGGTTCATCGCACTCGTCTCGGAGGAGATTTCATCCACTTTAAGAGTGGAGTTCTAAGAGACGAGAAGAGTTTTAAATTATCAAAATTTTCACCTAGATATTACTGCCGTGGCCACCTTGAGGTAATCGGGCCTATATTTCTAATATGAATTCAAATGCAGACACCTTAGATACACTTTTGTGATGGACAAGTGATTTATGTGCATGAGAATGGATTGTTGATGTGAGGTATGAAAAGAAGAAGATACCTTAGAAGCACCCTGGGATATCATTTGAACATTTACTCCATTGGTATGGAAAACGTGAAATGCCTGTCACAAAGTTATGCATTAGAAACGAGCAACAGAAAGATGCTTGATAACTCAAAATCATGCAGGCAGATAAACATTTGCAATTAGGATGAATTGCTATTATAATATCCAGGAAGCCCAGACACATATAAGTCCCGACACACTTCAAACACATGTCAAGCACACTAAAAATGTGTCTGCATTTAATATGTTTTTTTCTAATTTGGACATGGTTAGAATATATTTAACCTAAAAATTATGAAAAATAGAGATTTTCTTATAGATTGAATCCTTACATATCGATCATTCCTAAAGTATTTGGATGACATCTTCTTCCTTCAGTCATAACCAAAGATTTCAAATATTATTAGTCGACTTTAACTTCGTATGTTTTTAGTGAAGTATATATTGATTCTATGTTAGAGAAGTATTAATATAACAATACAAACATATATGTCCTCAACTGTCTGTGCCCTACTTTTTTAGAAATTCTGTGTCCATGTCCCGTTGGTTGTGACTGTGATTCTTAGATAATTGAACTATTTTTATGCATATAATAGAAAAAAAAAAAAAAAAAAAAAAAAAAAAAGAAAAAAGGGAAAAATATTCTCCTTGTGCTTTCAATTCATTTATATATATATTATTTTTAATTTTAATTTATTAATTTTATTAAATTTTTATTTTTATTTTGATGTTCTAAGTTTTGATCACAGCGTTGAAGAGCTTGGCGCATTCGTCAGAAGTGGGAAGGAGGAGCCCGACACAAGCTTGAACGTATCTTCAGATCCAAACTCTCTCTACTCCCCGTTCCAGATCTCTCCAAAACGCGTTTGGATCTCGGATTTCTTCGTCACAATGTTCTAATCGCTGCATAATCTCCACATCTCTGCTTAATTACGCCTTGCTTCTTGTATTCATTCCGATCTTGGATACCTTTTTTGGAGGTTCGATTTGAACTCAATCATGAATCCTTTCTCCTCAGGGACGCGTCTCAGGTTAGCTTCCAAGCGCAGTGTACCCATTTTCGCATATTACTTTTCTACTGTTACAATTCTTATTTGTTCCAGCTGTTATTTTTTGCACAATTTTCCGCTTTCTTATGGGTTTCAGAATGGAGTTCTTGCGTAATTAGGTAATTCGTGACCAAGGAGTGTGCGTTTTTGTGTATCGACTTGGGAATCTTGCTGCTGAAGCTGCATTTTCTTATGTTAGGAATTGATAACTAGTGTCATTCTTCTTGGGTTTAATTTGTGGCCTCAGTCAATAAGTTTGAAACGGGCCAGGTGNAAAAAAAAAAAAAAAAAAAAAAAAAAAAAAAAAAAAAAAAAAAAAAAAAAAAAAAAAAAAAAGTAGAATGCAAATACTCCTATGAAGTTACTGATCTTTGGGCACAAAAATTCTACCCAGTTCCGAAATAAACTTCTACGTTGAGCAGAATTCTTCTTTGGAAATTTGATAAAATCCATAAACATTCAACTGGATTGAACAAAAACATAAAGGCCTCGTTCGATAACGATATTTCAAAAACAAAAAATAAATTTTGATTTTTTTTCAGTTAAAAAATTTAGGCTATGGTTTTAAATATGGTTCACAAATAAAAGTGCTAGAAAATATGCATAATTTGAGAAACAGAAAACTAAAAAGAAAAAAGTTACTAAACGGGAGTAAATGAATTATATTTTGTGCAGAAAAGTGAATTTTGTGCGTGTGTGTGAATAAGTGGGGGGGACAACTAGATGCAGCACCTTTTCCAGTATCAGTGATGACCTTTGAACATTCCCTATGAGAGAAATGATTGATCT